TATCTCCAGTAACTTATTTTTGTTTAATCATAGGTGCATTGAAAGTTTGAATCCATTTCTTACTATCTAAAAATCAACTTTTTCTGATAAGTTTTGCATGTCGAATCCACTAAATGATCTGTTTAATCTGAGGTTAATTTTGTTCATTTCCTATATGTCTTAAAAAGATCTGGAAAAGTATCCCTCAAGTCAAAACGAAGAACATGAGTTTTTTTTTGGTGTAAGGAGAACTGGAGTTAAAGGATCCAGGAGCTTCGATCTCTTCAGCTCAATTAGACTTTCAAATATTTTTAGTGTAGTTAAAGACTAAAAAAATAAATATCTAAAGTTTTGTAACTTTTTTTTTTTGGAATTTGTTTCAGTTTCAATTAATCAGGATCAAAGAATAATACTTTTGTTTCTCTCTGCAAAAGTAAACGTAGAGAGGGAGAAACATGCTTAATTCATCACCTGAAACTGCTTTTTTCTAAAGAGATAAGACTTCCACTTTTCTCACATCTTGCCAAAAAAATTGTTTAAATATACTTTAGTTCATACTGAAATGGTGATATTGATCTTTGTTTGATATTACTCATTTTGTTTGAACGTTTAATATATTTATGTGCAGGCCGTGCAGTGACATTTGTAAAAGCAGATCTTTATTCATGTGACTCGAACCAGTATCACAACAAAGTTTCTTTATATTTGCAGATGCCTATAGCTGAAGTCGACTCATATAGAGAATTCAAAGCAGAACCATCCACATCTACTTTAGAAAGAGGTATGTTTGTCATATCTTGCAATACTCTACCGAATATAGATTTCAAAGGAGTTGAGTTGTTATTTTCCTGTGTATTATAGCTTAATGTGAATTCCCATATCCTCATTACTCTCATGTTTCTTCATCTTCTTCATAGCAGCTTGTAATGAGTTCATCAAAAAACAATAAAAGTAATCTTGCGGTTAGCTATATATAACAATATTAGATATAATATGACAAAATGGAATGCAAAACACTTACAATGAGATGTAACTTACACGACATTTCTGAGTGATTACGTTTACTCTTTGGAGTTGTAAAATTCTGTGCTTTTTCCTTACCTGTTACAAATAGAAATGTTTGACATAAAACATGAACTTCAATGGTATTGATATGGATTAGTAATTAAAAATATTACTTTTGCACATAGTAAAATCTGCGAACAAAGTGTTAGTACTTGATGATTAAGTTATAACAAAACATTACTAAGCATCACAAATTGCAACACTTACATGTAACATTTGTGTTTAAACACCTCCTCTTTGGAGTTGGAACATGAGACTTCCCTTTTAGATTGTCTGTTTGGAAATTTGTAGGAACTGAGAAAAATCAAAGATTGAATTTTCCAATGTTAGAAATAAGGACTTAATAAAACTCTTACTTTGATAGGAACTGCTACTTTGAGGAGGTTCATACGGAGAGTACGAAGCAGAAACCTCAGAAACCTTACTATGAGGTATGTTTGTCACAATTTTTAATACTCTTCCTTAATAAGAAACTTTAGGAATGGATATATTGGTATTTGGTTATAGGTGTGTGATTCTCTGATTGTGTAGAGTCATCGATCTTCTCGTTTCTCTTTCTCTTGTGAGTCAACAAACCCATTGAGTAGGTGTGTGATTCTCTGATCGTACGGATTTTTCTTCATTATTGGCATTTTCGAAGAGCAAAAATAAATTTTGTTTGTGGGGATGTTTGTTTGACTACGGTAGTTATATATAGCTGACAATAGATAGCTTTGGAAAGAATTTTCGGATTATTTTTTAGTTTAGTTTAAGGTGTTTAAGTTTTTGTTACTAATTGGTAAGATAAAGAATATTACCCGGCATATACTTAGTTATTGTTAACAATATATTTTCGAAACAGAATATATTGTTAGTAGAGTTTAACAAAATTTCGGATTTGGTGGTTTTTATTTTGAGTTTGAAATATACTTTTTGCGTGTAATTATTTTTTGTTTCCAAGTAAGAAAATTGCATATAATTAGATAACTTAACGGTTTTAAGAGTTTGGATCTAATTGGTTGTAAAACATACTATTTGTTCATTATTCAAAGTAAACAAAAGAAAATAGGTTTAGGGTTTTGTTCTTCACATATCAACTAATCTGTATTATATTAACTAATGGACATACTGGATTCAATTTATCATCTTTATTGAGAGGTGTTTTGACTGTTTTCTATAGAGAAATGTGTTCATAACAAAAAAAAAACTAAATGATACATGGACTAAATTTCGGTTTGCAGGTTCTTTCATTTGTGTGTGCATTGGCTTTACGATTGAGAAATTCCTTTGGTTGGAGACTAATCTAATCATGGAACACAGTAAATAAGTGTGAGTAGACATTCTTCATGGTCGTATTTGTAATGTTGATAGCATAAGAAAAACAATATACCAAAATTACAATATATTAATAGCCGAGACCAATATGAGCATGATTGGATTAATGTTGGTTTAATTGGTTAGTATAGAATTAGGGGATAAAAATATAGATGATATGGGAGACTTTTGGTGGTTTAGGTGGTCTACTTTTCATTTCCTATATTACCCTTAATGATTTTTTTGTTTTGTAGGCAAAATTGATGGCACCAAAAGTAATATTATCCCAAGGAAGAGTAGGGGTAATTTCATAAAAGGAATTCTGATCTATACTATTATTTAAGAAGTAAATTTGCTTAGTTGTCAACTTCTCCTTGATTTTAGGTAAATTTGTTTATTTATCATATTTATAATATTATATATAATTTATTTATAAATAAAACGAATGCTTAGTTGTCAAATTCTCCTTGATTTTAGGTAAATTTGTTTATTTATCATATTTATAATATTATATATAATTTATTTATAAATAAAACGAATTTATATGTATATATATATATATTATTATTTAAGAAGTAAATTTGCTTAGTTGTCATGTTTTAAAGAATTAGATAACTCTTGTGAATTATGGTGTTATCTAGAAATATATTTTAAGAATTATCTTACTATCTTTTTTTTTTTTTGAAACTGAATTATCTTACTATCTAGAAATATATTTTTATATATAAAACTTAAAAAAATAATTCTTATGTACTATGAATTATGTTGAAAATATATTTTCGTATAATAAAACTTAAAATTAAGATATAAAAAATTATATTATTAATAATTAAATTTATGTTTTAGAAAATAAGTTAATTCTTATGTATTATGTTGTTATCTTGAAAATATATTTTCTATTATAAAAAATTTAAAATAACATATAAAAAAATCTATACTATGATTTAAGAAGGGAATTTGATGTTTGCTTATTTGTCATATTTTTCATGCTTTTAATTAATTTTGATAATTTATCATAATTTCTCTAATTTTATATATAATTTATTATATATTTAAAACAAATTTATATTAATAGTATTAGATTCTTAGAAAATAAAATATTTCTTATGTATTAAGTTCTCGTCTTGAAAATATGTTTTTGTATTACAAATTTAAAATTAAGATATAAAAAGTTATAGTTATTCTATAATTGAAATAAATTTACACTAATAATATTATACTTTTAGAAAATAAGTTAATTCTTATTTATTATGTTGTTATCTTGAAAATATATTTTTATATTATATAATTTAAAAGTAAAATAGAAAAATTATCGATTTTAATTAAATATAAATCATCACTCAATAAAAATTATTTAAGAAGTGAATTTGCTGATTCATTAAGTTCTCCATGATTTTAAGTAATTTTAATTATATGTCATCATTTTTATAATCTTATATAATTAAAAAAATTATCGTATTATATTTTTAGAAATAAATAGTTTATGAATTATATTGTTATCTTGAAAATATGTTTTTCTATTATAAAATTTAAAATTAAGATATAAAAATTACAATTAAATATAAATTAAGTAAAAAAATTGTATAAATCTTATAATTAAATATAAATTAAGCAAAATAATTATAGAAATATATTCTTTTAAATATTTCTGATGTTTGAGTTTCGTCATTAATAATTATTTGATGTTTGATTTGTACTTTTTGAAAACATTAATAATAACTTATTATGCTGGTTTTTAAATTAATAAAACATCAACTAATAAATATTTATCAGAGAATTATGCCCGCAAGTGCGGGCAAAACACCTAGTTTAATAGTATTGATATACATGTTCTAAGATGCCCCTTTGAATCCTTCACTTCTTTCGGACAAATTGCTCGCGTTCTTTCTTAAACAAGATCTCTCATCATGTCAAGTTTCCAGCTTCAACCGAACCCGATGAAGAGTTTCAGGTTCCGGAATTCTAAACAACTGATGGTACTTGCCAACACAAAAACTGATTCGCCAGACATGATTTTGTCTCCCCTATTGTGATGGTAAATATCCTTTCTCCATACAATTTATACCCTTAATGCTCAGTCCACCAAGATACCTGCTCAATTTCGTTTTCATACTAAATTATTAGTTAAGAATCAAGATTTATGTTTCCGTATAGTTTATATTATAATGATAACTACATGAGGAACTAAGCCGTTGATTTATATTACAGCTTAAAGTAAACCAAGTCATTATATCATTCACATATGATAAACAGGTGAGTCTAAATTAAAAACTAATCTGTTGATTGTCACATGTTGCTCTCAAAATGTTTCTCAGAAGAACCACGGTAATAAATAACATATATACTCAGAATGTGTATAGTACACAGTACAAGAAAAATGTTACAATTCTTTTCGTTGATTTTGGGATGTTAAAATGGCAAAACCATTCCGATAACTGCACTTTAAAAAATTTCTTCAGTCTTTGGATTAATCTATACTCTTGCAATGCAGATACAAGAGCTTCATAAGGAGCTCGATGGTGACTTAATGAAGGTAAACTGAAACAACTCTCTCTCACTCTTGCAAGATGATGCTAGACTAATGTCGTATTCTGGTGAAATTTCAAATTATGTTCTGTACATAAGATATGTTCCCGTGCGTTGTGGGATAAGGTTAACCCAGGATGACTTGGCCTGAAGAGAGTGAAAGTATGAGACTTCCAGTTTCCGGCATCATGGTTCTTCTGCATTGTTTTCTTTAAGTGATGTGTATATTGTAGGGTCGCTGACTCGGATCTGCTTCTTATCTGGTTTGACAGGGGAATACATGATGATACTCACTGATGTATTTCCAAAACCTGGTAATTGTATTTTAAAATCCCATTACAAAAAAAAAGGAAGACTATGGAGCATTTCTTTTAAAGCAGGTGAATCAAATGCACAGTTAGAACCATCTGTGTTCGCAGCTATTGTTCCCAACAGCGCTGATGAACCCATCTTAAAATTGATGAAAGTAATCATGTCAGATAGTGAGTTGCTGGTTAGTGAAACTCAAAAATGTCCGTTTCAGCTATGGTCTTGAATATTTACACGTAAAACAATCAAAACGCTTTTTTTTTATGCAGACTGGAAGCGGTTCTAGGCTTCTAGCTGAAAGTCTCGAGTGAGGAAAGCAAGAGGACAACTTTGGAAGTACAAGAGTGTAAAGTTAGGATCAAGAATTGAAGTGTAGTCCCCTGAATTAATATTAACCTAATCTTCGTGATACTTATTGTATTATACAATTTCTTTGTACACTTATGCTCACATTATTTTTAATAAAAATCATAACGATACATCCGCAAGTATAGTGACCAAGTCCTTAGTTTAAAAATAGTTTTCAGAAAATTGTTAAATTTTCATGGGAATAGAAGCAGAACAAGGCATAATTAATACTCTGTTTATTTCATTTTAATTGTCATTTCACTGCATATAATGAAAACATTTAGTTTTCTATATGTTCTAAATACAAATATTATTATCTATACATATAATAACATTGTTTACTTACCACTGAATCAAAGTCTACCCCCACAGTCTTTCTCTAAAGACTTCACTATAAGCCGTGTGTGCAGTTTTCCTTCCAACTAACAACTAATAACAGATCCAATATTCTTTTTCTAAAGATGTGGGTCGTAAAGCATCTATTTTCAAGTTTTAGTCTCTGTCACAAGACCAAATTCAAAGCCAATGATACAATGTTTCTTCCTTCCAACTAACTAAAAAAGATCCAGTTTTTGTCTAAAGACTTAATTCAAATCCGTAGATATATTTTATGTTTCAATTAATCAAAATTCAACCCATTGTCTTCTCTTAAGACTTCATTCAAGTTTTGGGTACACGGTACATAGACTATGCAAAGACTATAGTCAAATTAATATATCTCCATATGATCGATACATATTTTGTTTTCTAAAATACTGGTGAAAAATGTTCTAAATTATAAAACAATAATAAAACCATACTAACATTAGCAAAACCAGCGTATAGCGCCGGTAAACCTCTTGTTTACAATATAGTTCTGTTAACTTGAAAACCTGAACGATGTATGATGAAGTTAAACAAAAGTGTGTCTGTAGTACAAACTGCCTTATTGTGTTAGAAAGTGCGAAAGACTTTGAATTAATTTTTCTGCCTCTTGTTCAGCTGACACACAAAGACACACACTACAGGCTGATCCATGGCATAGTAGCAATTGAAGACATAACTAACCTAAATTCTTAGGTTCTAACTGGTTTTCAACTTTGGTAAAAGAAACAAGATGACGAATTAAAAGAAGAATGGGATAAAGAAAATTTATGAAAATAATTAAAATGAAAATTAGGGTAAGATACACGCAATTGCACATAATGAACATCATATATAAAAATATTTTTATATATTATTATCTATCCGTGTTTATTTACGTATTATGTACTCTATGTAATTAAATTATACTAGTAAACACATAAATCAAAATAATACCTCTTATTTATTTACGATACTTTTTGGTAAATAAATTAAAACAATCATTTATTTATTTAATTTGGTATATAACTAAATTTCAAGGACATGGACATAGATATATAGTATAATTTAGTATAATTATTTATTATTGAGAATTCATACTCATATTATAAACACAAAATTTCTAATATGCAATTTTTTTCAATGAAAATTTCAAAATTAAAATATTATGGTTTCAGAAAAATTTCAATAAAAATTTAACATATTTATTTATTTTATATCTTATATAGTTTAATTTTAATCTATATTAATATATAATATGAATGTCTAGTAAATGAGACCTCATATATATACGATATATGATCATTTGTATATTATTATTATAAAAAAATTAAATCATTGATCATAAAATTTTAGTGTGAGACATTTCACATTTTAATAATTTATAGCCATTTTAAAAATTCAAAATATAACAATAAGGAAAATTTTATTTATTTTACTATGTATTAATGTGATTGTTTAGTATCTTTAAATAAGATAAAATTAAACAAAGAAAAAGAACCAAGATACAAAAACTGTTATCAAATATTTATTATTCATAAACATTAATTTGTGTATATATGTTAATCATATTAGGTAATTCTGTAGCTTTTATTTAAAGAAAGAGGGAGTATATTACTTTGTACCTTATTTATCAATTGGATAATTAGTTTAATAAAAAGTATAATATAAATTAAGATGAACCAACCTATTTTTCTAAGAATTCTGAATTTCATTTTCATGGTGACACGTAACTACAAAACAATGTTGTGTTTCTCAATTAATATATAAGGGATGATAATTAGTCTATAGGCTTGAGATTTATTATCCGGGATCCGATCAGATCTGATATCTGTTATGTATTCGCTCTGAAAATAAGATATCCGAGGGGCGTCTAGATGTGGATCCGAAAAGTAAAATCTCAGGTTTGCCTAAACCGGATTAGGTTCCGGATATCTTAATTTCTAGGTCCAGATGTCCATATTTGAAAATATATTAAAATTTTAAATTTTGTTAAATTATATATGATATATACATAAAATAAATCTTAGAATATAATATTTATATTATTAATATTATATGTTTTATATATATATATTCATAATTTTTTCATAAATATTTAATCGAACTATTATTTTTAAAATTTTCATTTTCTAAATTTTTTATGGATTCTAATCTGAGTTCGGATATCCACGTATATCACAAATGGAATCCAAATACTAACATCACATATCCAACGAATCCAAATATGGAATTTTTGTTGAGATATCTAGATTCCTTCCACTCATACTAGGCTCTCCTTTTATACAAGTCGTCTTCAGTTATAAGCAAAACCAAAAAGTCAATCAGTCCGGTTTATAGATTTAATTAAACCGGAGAAGAAAGTAACGTCACCATTAAACCCTAGACCTAATAAGAGCATCTCCAATGTAAAACTCCATTTTTTCCTCTAAAATGGAGTAAAAGTGATTATGGAGTAAAAATGCTTCAATCCCATTCTATTTGTAACTCCATAATGGAGTAGTGAACAAACAAAAAATAGATTATTCCATTTATGGAATAAATCTCATTATGGAGTAAGAAATGAAGTGGGGTTAGAGCATTTTTAAAAAAATAGAATTGGGTTGGAGACACCCTAAAAGTCGTCATTTCCTTTCCCAAATATCTGTTACTTTTGTCAGTTACGGTGCCATGGCTCCCAGAGACGATGAATCTGTGAAGGTCTTCCTCAGCATCGGGTTGGACGATAAAACCGCAAGCACTACCATCAACAACCCGAAGGTCACCGCTAATCTCACCGCCGTTATCCACGAGGTATCGTTTCCTAATCTTATTGATGAAATTGGATTGAAGATTGACTAAGTATCATTTTACCTTTTTCCTCTGATGACTGAATCCAAACTTTACCAACTCAATTTCGAAATTCTTAGTTTGGTTTTTGATGATTTGGATTATTTGCATGTATGCATCTTCTGTATCAAAACTTGCTTCATCTTGTGCACAGGCTGGTGTCACTGATGGGTGCGATCGAACTACTGGAAATCTACTGTACACAGTGCGATGTGTTCTAATTAAATATTTTTTTATGGATTTTTTCAATGCTGGAAAGAAACTTATTGAGGGTTATATGTGAAACAGGTCGCTACTAAGTACCATTCAAATCTTCGCGTGCATCGTCCTACATTGCTCAACTACATTGTCTCCTCCAAGGTGAGCAAGCACGTGTCACCTTCATCGATATCCATCTGCAGCAGCTGTTTCATTGAGGGAAAACTGGCGAATGTTGTTTTGATTCTCTCTGTCTGCAGATTAAAACTCCTGCACAATTGGAAGCTGCAGTTTCGTTTTCTTGATAAAAACGCTCCTGATGACTTCAAGCTAAATGAATTTGAGGAGGCATGCGGTGTTGGTAAGAGATTTTGTGTCTTATTACCGGGATTATATTTATCTATTAATCCTAGCAGCGTGTACATGGTTTCTGTTTTCTTTATTAAAAATGGTGGTTAGAGGTTCAATGTTTTGTTTTTTCTGTGGATTTGGTGATGAGAACTTCATTTTCTTTTTGGAACAGGGGTTGAAGTTTCTCAAGAAGATATTGAGAAAGCAGCTCAAGATGTTTTTGAAGAAAATAAGAGTTCAATATCGGAGAAGCGCTACCGAACTAATGGTTAGTCTCTGCGCTTCACAGACATATCCTTGTGTGAACTAGTTGCATACTCTCCGCGCAAGCGCGGAACTGGGATCATTGTGTTTGCGTGTATTTTTTTTTATTATTGCATTAGTGGATTCTTCTAATGACACCAAATAATAATGAAATAGAAAGAATGTATAAGACTGTAAAGTGAAAATATTGTATATATATTGTGTTAAATGTTATTTATATGCAAAGTAAGGTTTATAGGAATAATTAGGCTATAATATATTTTTAGTGTGTATAAGTAGGTGTATATTTTTTTTTATTGCTGTAATAGTTTTTATATCGTAGGTCAAAACTTGATATAAGTCTATATTTACAGTATTTATATTTGTATTAAATGATTTATTAATTTAAAATAACCTTAATTAAGTTAATATTTGTTGTTTAAGTTTCATTAGATAGGTTTATAAATATGGTTTTTTGTAAGTTTGCGTTTTGTTCATAAATAATGTGGCATTTTTATCTATGGCATCATCGACTGTGGGAATCCATTTGCCGGAGTCTGGAGTCGGTAGTGAGGAATGTTTTCAATGAAATTATAGTAGTTATTAAAATGTAAGAGAAATTACATATTCATTTAATAAATAACGGAAAATACTTTAATTTTCTTGTTTATTTTATTTTATTTCACATACAAATTTTTTGAAAATATATTAGGAATGTGTTAATGTTATTTATATGCAAAGTAAGGTTTATAGGAATAGTTAGACTATAATATAGTTTTTAGTGTGTAAAAGTAGGTGTTTTTTTTTTTGCTGTAAATAGTTTTTATATCGTAGGTCAAAACTTGATATAATTCTATATTTATAGTATTTATATTTTTATTAAACAATTTATCAATTTGAAAATAACCTTAACTAAGTTAATATTTGTTGTTTAAGTTTCATTAGATAGATTTTATATATGGTTTTTTGTAAGTTTGAGTTTTGTTCATAAATGATGTGGCATTTTTATATACGGCGTATCGACTGTGCGAATCCATTCGTCGGAGTCTGGAATCGGTGGTGAAAAATATTTTAATGAAATTATAGTAGTTATTAAAATGTAAGAGACATTACATATACATTTAATAAATAAGGAAAAATCATTAAATTTTGTTGTTTTTTTATTTTATCTTACATACAAATTTTTTGAAAATATATATTAGGAAATATGTGCAATGATTTAACTTTTTGAGCTCTTAATCTATATTATTCAAGCTTCATTAAGCCATCTACGTATGCAGCCGCATGTGACTCACTTTTTTTTTGTTTTTTTGGCTTGTTCGTTTTTAGATCCATTTTTTATTATTTTTGGGTTGAGCTATATTATAATAGGACAGTTTTAAGGCTCTTTAAGCCATCCGCGTAGGCAACCGCAAGAGACTTGTTTTTTTTTTGTTTTTTTTTTGTTTTTTATATTGTTCGTTTTTGGATCTATTTTTAACTTTTTTGGGTTTGAACTTGTTAAGCTTTAGAGTTTATCCAATTATTTTAATCTTTAAAACAATAGCAAAAAAAAAAAACATAAAAACTTTATAAACAAAAAGCTCATATGATAATAATCCAAATCAAAGAATCAAAAATAGATGATAACTACGTGGTTTGAACCCACGATCTTGCAGGCTTAGTTATACACCTTAAACCACTTGGCTAAAGCGTATTTCATTATTCGTAATCATCTTACCAAGACTATGACTTTTTAAAAAATACCTATGGGACCCACAAAACTGCTGACGTGGCGCGCTGTGGAGCCTAGAAAGTCTACTATTATAATATAGATTTTTCTATATTATTTTTTCACATAACCAACTTATTATGTTTCTTAGTTGAACTTATGTATTTCACATAACATAACCAACATAACCATTTTAGCACATTGCCTCTTTGCTAGCCACGAACAAAATATTAGTTTTCTTATCCTTTCGTATTTCTGTAATAGGACGTCATAACAGAAAAATGTATGAACTGCTTGGTGAGAAAACTGCTGCAGATAATGAAAAACCTACAAAAAGAAGGAAAAGAAGGAGAAACCTGCTGCCAAAGCTGAGGTAATTGGATTTTTTTTGTAATGTATTTTCTCTTGTGCTCGCTCATTAATTCTTCATGTTTGTGATATGTGACTATGGTTAGGTAAGCTTTTTGGTTCATATCAGTTTGTGGCATATTTGTAGGAAAAGAAATCTGCCGTGGAAGCTACGCCAGAGCCATCAGAAGAGGAGCTTAATCCATATTATATGTTCCCTCAGCCAGAGCAAAATTTGATGGTACCACACTTCTTTTTGTTTGTTTACAACAATTTTGCTTTATTTAGATTATCAAGTCCATCTACACTTCTGAATCCTTTCCTATTTGATTATGTACTTCTATCTACGCATTTTAATCCTTTCCCACTTGATTATGTACTTCTAGGTGCAGATTAGGTGATAACAAGAGTAGAATAGATTTTATCTGTATTGCTCGCCCCTGTTTATTGTGGTGATCTGGGAAAATTTCTTAGACGATGTTGAAAACCACATCACAGCTCTTGTTAAACTGGAAAAGTGGAAACTTTTAGCTTTTGAAACAAATGGATGATGCCAATATGTTGATGTGATATTCTCTTTTCTTCATGGGTGAATATATATAGCATTGCCGTGTAACATATGCTAATAGGGACTCGGTGGCTAGAAGTTAGATACCATTAATTAATATATATATATTCTCAGGTTCACACAGAAGTCTTTTATAGCAATGGTTCTGTGCTCAGATGTAACAACAACAAGGAAGTGCTTGATAAACATCTCAAGGTGACTGGAGGGAAAGTCTATACCCGGTTCCCACCGGAACCAAATGGTTACCTACATATTGGACATGCAAAGGTAAGATTGACATAAAATGTGGTTGTAAGATAGGTAAGACCTACCTTTTTGTCATTTTAATGTTTTGTTCTTTCAGGCTATGTTTGTTGATTTTGGTCTTGCAAAGGAGCGAGGGGGCTGCTGTTATCTAAGGTAAGAATAATTATTTTCTTTATGTCTATATAGCAATCATTGTTTCTCGTATAACAACGTAGTTTAGGATTCTTTTAAACATCTGATATATTCCAGATATGATGATACTAATCCCGAAGCAGAAAAGAAAGAGTACATTAATCACATTGAAGAAATTGTTAACTGGATGGGTTGGGAACCCTTCAAGGTATTCTTACTTTTAAGTACAAATAACCTTTATTATAATTTATATGTTCTTATATCTGTCTAATACTTTCCATCGTTTCTTCTAGATTACGTACACCAGTGATTATTTCCAAGAATTTTATGATTTGGCAGTCGAATTGATTCGGAGAGGTCATGCTTATGTTGATCATCAGGTTGAATAATTTTTGACCTTCAAATCTATGGATTCCTGTTACCTTTTCCAGTCAACTTTAATGTGTTAGTTTTAAGATGCACTGTGACTTACTCCACACAGAACTCATTCTCTCGACATTGTTGATTTTTAACTTTCAGAATGCTGAAGAGATAAAAGATTACAGAGAAGAAAATGAATGGTCCCTGGAGGGACAGGCCGATTGAAGAATCTCTGAGACTTTTTGACGAAATGAGACGAGGAAAGATTGAGGAAGGGAAAGCAACACTGAGAATGGAGCAGGATATGCAAAATGATAATTGCAATATGTATGACCTTATTGCCTATCGTATAAAGGCAAGTGAAAAACAAACATTATCTTGTTGCAGAGTATGTGTACTCCCCATTCTTTCGATATCTTATTTGTTTGTATGCGTTGCAGTTCACACCTCATCCTCATGCTGGTGACAAATGGTGCATCTATCCGAGCTATGATTTTGCTCACTGCACTGTTGACTCTCTCGAGAATATAACTCATTCGGTTAGTACCTTTCTAGGTCTTTGGCTTTTGCAGCATTAAATGCGGCATTTAGGACCCTTTTTGATACTATAAAGTATATTTTGTATCTTTGTTATTCTACAATCTATTGTGTTGTTTAAGTCTTTCATTTTTTTTGTCTCCATAAAATCTAGCTCTGTACTCTTGAGTTCGAAACCCGGCGGGCTTCATATTACTGGTTATTACATTCCCTGGGTCTCTACATGCCGTATGTGTGGGAGTATTCACGGTTAAATATCGCAAACACTGTAATGTCCAAGCGTAAGGTTGGTAAATATACTTGATAGTGAACAACTTTGAACAATTTCTGCGGAGAATCATATGGTGGTTGTATCAATTTTTTCTTTCTTCTTTTGCTGCAGTTGAATTACATTGTGACAAACAATCATGTTGATGGTTGGGATGATCCACGTCTGTTGACACTTGCTGGTCTGAGACGGAGGGGTGTGACTCCTACTGCGATCAATGCTTTTGTACGAGGAATTGGAATCACCAGAAGGTTTGCTATTTATCTATTTTCCAAGTCCCTCATCAGATTTGGCCTATCTTAATCTTATTTCCTTGAATCTACTGCCTGTTGTTGGATATTGAAGTGATGGTAGCATGATACATGTAAGTCGACTTGAGCATCATATCAGAGAAGAGTTGAATAAAACGGCTCCCCGCACTATGGTGGTACTTAACCCACTCAAGGTGATCATAACCAATTTGGAATCAGACAAGGTTTTGGAGCTTGATGGCAAAAGGTGGCCTGATGCTCAGAACGATGACCCCTCTGCATTCTCCAAGGTGAACTGTATTCCACTTATATTTTAGAAATCTACACGCAACGGAACCTTATTCTGTTTTTCTGATCTTTCTTTTGGGATTGTTGTTGGTCTAGGTTCCCTTCTCTAGAGTTGTATACATTGATCAGTCTGACTTCCGGATGAAGGATTCAAAAGATTACTATGGGTTTGTCCCTGGTAAATCTGTCTTGCTAAGGTATATAGAAATGGACACTTACGTTTTCATCATTATTACTTTGGCATTGAATTTGATTCTCTGTGTGCTTCCTTCCGTTTTGCAGATATGGTTTCCCAATCAAGTGCACCAACGTTGTCTTTGCTGATGACAATGAAACCATTCGTGAGATTCATGCAGAGTATGACCCTGAGAAAAAGACAAAACCAAAGGTTTGTTTCGTTAACCATCATTATACCATCCGCAATTCCAGCGCCTCTTAGTAACCAGACCTTTTTTTCCTGCAGGGTGTTCTACACTGGGTTGCTGAATCTTCCCCAGGAAAAGAGCCCATAAAGGTTGAAGTTTGGTTATTTGAGAAACTCTTCAACTCCAAGGTATGTATCATTCGCTAGCTTTTGTTGTAGTAACCAAGACCTTTCTCTGAGCTTAAATTGTGTTTAATATATACAGAATCCGGCTGAACTCAATGACGATTGGCTTTCTCACATTAACCCAAACTCCAAAGTCGTGGTTTCTGATGCATATGCTGTCTCAATCCTTAAAGATGCTGTGGTCGGGGACAGATTCCAGTTCGAAAGGCTAGGTACTTTTTCTGTTTCATGATCGTAGTAAAATGTGCTTGCATTTATTTTTCTGTCTAATCTTGAAAACCAACACTGATACAAGTTTCTGTTGATGTAGATGAGGCGACGAAAAACATAGTGTAGAAAGTAAGACACATCAAATTTGTTAACGGGGTTCGTTTCCTAAATCCCCGGGACCTCGTCCAGATTTTATTGACTTAGAACAAGGAGCAACCTACAATTGATATATGGTACAACACACACACTAGTGTTTACCACTCTTTTCTAAGAAGCAATCTACAAAGATTAGGTATCAGCACTCATGCATACAACACCATCTGGGCGCGCCAGAGCACACTGTCTTCNTATGGTACAACACACACACTAGTGTTTACCACTCTTTTCTAAGAAGCAATCTACAAAGATTAGGTATCAGCACTCATGCATACAACACCATCTGGGCGCGCCAGAGCACACTGTCTTCTACAGCTGCAATCTTTACAAACCTCTTCAATAAAACCGCCTTTGCTAAACTCCCCCTGAGTCTAGGCTTCAATCTTCCACTTCTCAGAAGTACTTCACCAAGTACTCATCACCCAACGCACACCAGTGACACCAAACGCTTGATCACCCAAGCACACACGAATCTCACACGAGCTACACAAGATGGCTAACACCACCATACAAAGCGCTAACTCCAACGCCACCATACTAAGTCCACATCGGACTCCATCACGAACTACTACAGACACTGCTTCGACACCAAGCAGTACACACACCAAAGAAACCTCTCTCTCTCTTCTATGAGGTCTGGCTTTCTCATAAGGCACGTCCCTCCTTATATAGCAGACCAGAACTTGCTCTCCACGTCTTTAACTCGTTCTCCAAGTCTTCCACTTGCTCTCCAAGTCTTTCCAATACACATAAGGTAACTTTCCATTTTCCTTAATGGAAAACTTCATCTTCAAGTAAACTCTCTTTTGCTTTATGGAAAACGTCCATATGTCTTCAGTGACATATTCTCTTTCCTTTTCCAAGCTCAGCAAGCCCACGCTCATCACGAACAACGAACTCCAGCATAGCCCATCTTCATGACACACACATGTACTACCTCCTGTAGTACTTCACGAACTAATACAGAACACCTCTGCAAATTGCATCTTCAGTCTCCCCCTTTTGACTATGCATGTGCACTCATTATAACGAGCTTGAAAGCCACGTCTTCAATCTCCCCCTATGAGTCACATCATGGTCAAAAACACACTCGAAGATCACCACCTTCCAAACCAAAGAAGAAATCCCATGACACCATCTACATCGGTCTTCATACAAACTCTGTCCTTCTTCCTGAACCAGATTTCGTCCTCATCCTCCATGATCTCACCAGTAACTTAGGTGACCCGCTCTGATACCAATTGTTGATGTAGATGAGGCGACGAAAAACATAGTGCAGAAAGTAAGACACATCAAATTTATTAACGGGGTTCGTTTCCTAAATCCCCGGGACCTCGTCCAGATTTTATTGACTTAGAACAAGGAGCAACCTACAATTGATATATGGTACAACACACACACTAGTGTTTACCACTCTTTTCTAAGAAGCAATCTACAAAGATTAGGTATCAGCACTCATGCATACAACACCATCTGGGCGCGCCAGAGCACACTGTCTTCNTATGGTACAACACACACACTAGTGTTTACCACTCTTTTCTAAGAAGCAATCTACAAAGATTAGGTATCAGCACTCATGCATACAACACCATCTGGGCGCGCCAGAGCACACTGTCTTCTACAGCTGCAATCTTTACAAACCTCTTCAATAAAACCGCCTTTGCTAAACTCCCCCTGAGTCTAGGCTTCAATCTTCCACTCCTCGGAAGTACTTCACCAAGTACTCATCACCCAACGCACACCAGTGACACCAAACGCTTGATCACCCAAGCACACACGAATCTCATACGAGCTACACAAGATGGCTAACACCACCATACAAAGCGCTAACTCCAACGCCACCATACTAAGTCCACATCGGACTCCATCACGAACTACTACAGACACTGCTTCGACACCAAGCAGTACACACACCAAGGAAACCTCTCTCTCTCTTCTATGAGGTCTGGCTTTCTCATAAGGCACGTCCCTCCTTATATAGCAAACCAGAACTTGCTCTCCACGTCTTTAACTCGTTCTCCAAGTCTTCCACTTGCTCTCCAAGTCTTTCCAATACACATAAGGTAACTTTCCATTTTCCTTAATGGAAAACTTCATCTTCAAGTAAACTCTCTTTTGCTTTATAGAAAACGTCCATATGTCTTCAATGACATATTCTATTTCCTTTTCCAAGCTCAGCAAGCCCACACTCATCACGAACAACGAACTCCAGCATAGCCCATCTTCATGACACACACATGTACTACCTCCTGTAGTACTTCACGAACTAATACAGAACACCTCTGTAAATTGCATCTTCAGTTTCAACCATAACTTGTGACACATTAGGTTATTTTGCGGTGGACAAGGACTCTGAGCCTGGGAAGCTTGTCTTTAACAGGACGGTCACACTCAGAGACAGTTATGGGAAAGGTGGGAAGTAAACAGACTACACACATGTTAACACTTTGTTGGTCAAAACTTTTATTTAAACAGTAGATGAAAACTTTGTTGATACGCTCGTTGTGCAACAGTTAGATTTGGTTTCTTGAGCTTTAATGTGAATGGTGAAAAATGTTGTGTTTAGTTCTCATATTTCGAAGAGAGAAGTTTTTAAATCTTCAGATAACTTATGTCGGTCGATGTTAGTGTCAAAAAAAGTTGTCGGAAGCTCGTCTGCCAGATGGAACAAAGAGACAGAGTTTAGTGTCTTTACGCATGTGAACTCTTATTCATTGAAGATCGAGATGCACTACTTTGATGGACTTGTTATGATAGGTTTCATTCAACGTGTCCTGCTTCCTCTGCACATAATTCAATTTTGTTATCCACTTCACCACACACTAAAAGCTTCAGTGCTGGTTCTGAATTCCTATGGAAGCACAACTTGTATCCATGTGAAATGCACAAGGAATAAAAAAGTTATGAAGTACGAGGATCGAATATAGTAAAGGTTTATGGAACAAGATGCTTTTACGATAAGGACAACTTTAGATATGAGGTAATGCAGCAAAGTTTGTTAGAAAAATGCTCCATCATCTTCTCTTTTGGCACATCACAAATGTTTTGTTTTATTTTACTATAAGCTATATCACCAATGCTTCGTATGTAAATTGTATTTCGAGAAATAAGTCAGAAAACGGCTAATTCTGGCAAATTAGTCCATAATTTTGATAAACTATCAAAGAAAGCATAAGCAACATGGATCATTTACTTAATTTAGTCACTACTTTAATAGGTTAAACTAGATATGACCGCGCTTTTAAAGCGCGGGAATATTTTTACAATTCTAATAAAATTGATTTAATTTATAAGATGTATTAGAAAATAAAAAATTTAAAAATTGTTTTATTAGTATTTAAAAAATTATTCTATTACAATTTATAAGGTTTGATTTTTAAGCAGTGTAGTTATATCAAACCTTACCCATGGTTAAACTGATAGATCTGGAAACCTTTGTTAACTAATAATTCGATAAAACCCAATGAAAATCTAAAAAATCCGCTATTAATCCATGATCCGATATCTGATGATTTGTTAAAAATCCAAACACCTACTTATAGTTCAAAATTTTTGATTAAATAACTCATATGTTTGAATATTATATAAAATTAAATTCCAAAGAATTTGATGAAAATTTAATTATATCATCTAAAGAAATTGAAAATGGTAATTAAAAAAATTACTGATATGAAAATATTAGTTTTTTTGTTATTAATAACCTATTATATATTTTATTTTTTAGATCTAATTTTTAATCTAATCATAAGTTTTAAAATATTTTTGAATACTTGAAACTGGAATATAAATATTATGTACAAATGACACAAAACTGGAATATAAATATTTTAAAAATAGTTTCATGTATATATTCATATTGGAATGTTAAATAATATTTTGCGCACGAAAAAGGATATTCAAATGAAATAGAGAGTATAATTTGCAGAGAAAATAGAATTATTATCTTTCATAAAATATGGAAAGTATTACTTGGCATAAATATAGGGAATATTCTGTTTTTATTTTAAATAAATAATAATTGTATTAGAATTAAATGTTAATGGCATTCTTTTATAAATAACTCAAAAACTAATGGCAGAATCCTATGAGGGATTCTGCTTTAATAGTATAGACTAGGTGATTTTCCCATGCTCATGCACGGGCATGTATATTATAAAATAAATATACAATAATAATAGATTGATATTTACTTTAATTTTTAAATTAGTTGATAGTTTGTATGTCTAATTTATATTCTAATATTATATTACTTTAATTATATATATAATTTTAAATATGTTATATTTAGTATGTTTTATTGTTTTTATGGTCTATTAGTTATCATTTAGATATATTGGATTCTATTTATTTCTCTGAATTCAACTATAATATTTTATATTTTAAATATATTAATTTTTTATTAATTGTCTTATTTGCATTTATGCTAGTTGTTATCTTAGAAATATAAGTATATTTAGTAAGATTATATATAACTTAAGATTTTTTTGTGCTTAGAAGGAAAAAAAAATAAAAACTTAAGTGTCTGATTCTAAATTACATACATAAGTAACTAATAAATTTTTAGAAGCTTTTGAACACATATCAATATTTATAATAATTAAAATATTTTATAAATTCTAAATAAATTTATGCTTTAGATTGATTGGATGGCAAACTGAAATTTATTCTAAATAACTTTAAAAATAAAGATTCTGATTTGCTTAAGTATTTTGACTATGATTATATTAAGTTTTACAAACATAAAAACAGAAAATTAAACATCAAAATATTTATTAAGAAAACATATAATTTTAACTATTAAAATATAATATATCTACCTTGTTAATTTATATAGTGTTATGGTATTTTAAAATAATTGTAGTTATTTTCTGTTTTTATGTTTGTGAAACTTAATATAACCATAATCAAAATACTTAAGTAAAATCAAAATCCTTATTCTTAAAACATATAATTTTAACTATTAAAATATAATATATTTACCTCGTTAATTTATATAGTGTTATGATATTTTAAAATAATTGTAGTTACTTGATCAAAAGATTTTTATTATTAAATTTATTTTTAGTTTTATTTTTAGTATCTCTTAAAATAGTCAGTAAAAGTGATTGTTTTGAGAAATTATACTATATAAGTAAAATAGAATTTATATTTTTACTGTAATTGTAAGATACTATAGTCAAATAAATATACTAAAAAATAATTTCAATAATACTAATTATAAAAAAAATGTCAATTAAAATATATTAGTTTATGTTAGTTGATTATTTTATGTAATCATCTAATAAAATAGATAGATATATACAAAAATAATTATTTTGAAAATATATATATTTTATTGTTTAAATTATTTTTATAGATATAAAGTATTTTATAACTTCAAAGGCATATTTTCTGTTATTTAAAATATATTTAAATTAAATACTTTAAAATATATGTATTTTATTATTTAAAATTATTTTTTAAAGAAAAAATATTTCTTTTCTAATAGCAATATTTTTTGTGTGAAATTTTTTTACGAAATCACGTTATATACAGATATTGTTTTTTTTATCTAAGAAGATATAGATATAAAGTATTTTATTACTTCAAAGGTATATTTTATGTTATTTAAAATATATTTAAAAATATTACTATTTTGTGAACTTTCTTTTTTTATTAAAGATATTATATATACTTATATTTTCGTTTTAAATAGTTTTGTAAATTTTATAAATGTTTCCTTTTTAGTTTATATTGTTATTTGGAAATTTTTAAAAAGGAAATAATAATTAATTGTATTTTTAATTCATTAGGGGTATCATAGTAATCAACCAGCGTGAGAGTTAACATGAACGCGACACCTAAAAAAGTGACTTCTCAAATAATATTATAGAGATGGAGCAACGCTTTTTAATTAACCTTTTTAATATAAGAAGTTAAGAACAGTAATGTGTTCGTTTGATTAATTCAAGATTATAGCTAAGCTGATATGACAGTCCAAAGTTCCGTTATTATTGGTTTTTAGTTTTTACTCGAGCTGGTGTCTTTGAGTGATCTGATCCCAAAAACACTGTTTCATAGAACTACACCTTGAAATTTATTGGAGTTATTAGGTGATTCTTATGTTGATAATTACACGTTACAACAGTGTTCGTTGGTCAATAAACTATTCCAACAAAACACATCTTCGAACAACTTTGACCATCTAACAGTTTTTTTTTAACCATTTAACAGTTTATGGCCGATGTTTCTCCAATTTCCATTTTCGTTTGGATTCCCCCGAACTGACGGTCGTGATGTTGTTGTAGTAGACTAAAATAGTGAACATGCATGTAAAGTAAACGACGACTAAGTATCTGCATACCTGTTTTTACAACACGTTTTTTTTTTCTTCTTCTATTTTGCCTACTAGATTGTATATATATACGAATGTGATCCATTTAAAACTTGAATTATTGGATATGAGAAGGAGACAGGGCATGCAAAGACTTTCATTTCTGTCAAAAGTAATGATATATATATATATATATACTATTTTTCGTGACCTCTTGAAAATTATTTAAAAGTTTCTTGAAACTTGTAATACATTTTTTGGGTCAAATTCATTAAAAATATTTCATTTGGAAGTAATGAAAAGGAAATAAGTACATCCATGTAATAAATGATTACACATCACTAGTGAAAATAAAAACTATCTCAAGTTGAAGCTCTTGTGGGGACTATCTATATATGTATCTTCAACTAATTTTGTACTTCCTCCGTTTTGATTTATTTGTTGTTGTAGAGTAAAATTTTTGTTTTAAAATAAGCGTCGTTTTATAATTTCAATATAAAATTTATTAATTTTATCTGCTATTCTATTTTTCTATTGGTTGAAAAATGGTTAGGTGTATAGGTAATTGTGTTTTTATTTTGAAAATATGTAAAATTAAAAAATTTCTTAATCTGTATGTAAAAATCAGAAACGACAACTAAAATGAAACGGAATGAGTATTTATTAAAGCCTCTTATAGAGAGGATTACTAATCGATGGTGAACAAGCTCCTCTAAAATGTAACCGGACGGATACGAGGACTTAAAATCATATCAAGTCGAAAGAGATTAATTTAATTTACGGATTTACCGACGGTCTATTGTTTTTGGTCAAGGCATTCCCAAATATTAGGATTTAAAATTTAAATAATTATCAATTGTGTTGCGAGTGTTTTGGTTCGAATTTTCAATGTGATTTTACAAAGAGAAACATAAATATCTTTATATATCACGATGAAAGACATCGCAACACAATTAATAATTACTCGAATCTAAAAAAGAAGAAAAGAAACATAAATCTATAATCCTATACATATGAGCCCAAATATTTTATTTAAATTTTCTAACAAAGTATTTTCAGTAAGTTGTAGATATTATTTTAGATTCAAATGTGTCTTGAAGAAGATGTACACTTAAACTACTACTAGATCTTGACCCGCGCGTCCACATGGATGTTTTCTTATAATTACATAAACATTTAAAACACACAAAAACTTAATGATTTTATATAATAGTTTCATATAATGGGTTCATTTGTTAGATTTTAGTTTATAATTCATAGCATAAATTACTTTCATGTTTTTGTATTATGTTATATATATATATATATATATATTTGTGAGTTGTTATATATTTCTCTTATTGTATGAGTTTTAAAAGTCGAAGCTACCGTTTGAACAGATGGGTATCCAATATGTAAGTCAATCTGATTTTTTAATTGAAAATTTAAATTCAATTTTATATTATATTTAAACACTTATTAATTTTAGTGTTATTGTATTTTGAATTTTTATTTTATTTTATAATTATATAAACATTTAAAACACACAAAAACTTAATGATTTTATATAACAATTTCATATAATGGGTTCATTTGTTAGATTTTAGTTTATAATTCATAGTATAAAATACTTTCATGTTTTTGTATTGTGTTATATATATATATATATATTTGTGAACTGTTATATATTTTTTTATTGTATGAGTGTTAAAAGTCGAAACTATTGTTTGAACAGATAGGTAACCAATATGTAAGTCAATCTGATTTTTTTTTTTAAATTTAAAATTTACATTATATTGAAACACTTATTAATTTTAATGTTATTGTATATTGAATTGTATGTTGTAACTCCAAATCATTACAAAAATGATTTAAATCATCTATTATATATTTTTATATGAAATCTAAAAATAAAGAAAATGGATTTTAAAACTTTATCATGTTTTTAAACTTGATTTTTATTTTATTTGAATACTAATATATATAAGTATACATGTCATATGTATAAACTATGCATTTTTCTATAATTATATTATTTAACAGATCCTCGAAATTCTTCTTACAAACTTAGAACAGCCTAACAAAATAATAATTAGACATTAATCAAAATTATTGTGTTTTAACTTCAGTCACATAAAGTTGTAATTTTTGTGGAAAACTAAGGGGTATATACTATTTGTACTTCCCCTTTAATAGTTTAGATTAGCACATCAATTATCGTATCGTGTTCTTTAAATCAAAATAAGCACATAATGCCAACCATTTATCGACTTTCCGTCGACTTAATTAGTTACCATGCACACGTCTAGTTTTCCGAAGAGACAAGTCATCAATTATTTTCTTGAACTTAATTTCTCACCGTCATTTTCTTGGATTTATATTATGTATAAATATAAACCCTTGGACTCTTTCACATGTAAGAGGTGATAGTAGATTTGTTCTCCTTCAGAAGATCCAAACTAACGAAATTGAGAACGATTTGATATACAAAGATTATTCATTCAGTTGTCACCTCTTCATGATTAGTCAGCATTTAGATTAATTACTCGAACTAATTCTTCTACGTACTACAGGAGTACAGGAGCATCGTTATAAAAACGCATTATAATAAAGAAGAATATAGATACAGAAAAATGAGGAAAAGGAAGATGAATAACTTGTATATATTTATTAAAAAAAAAAGAACAATACTTGGGTTCACCCCCGAGGTGAATGGTTAAATTCACCTCACCTCTTATAGCCAATCAAATTGCCTTGTCAGATTATTTAAAAAAGGAAATATATTAAATTAAAAAAAAACGGTTAGAAAAATTACTGTATGAAAAACTCTAACCCCCTAAACCATAAACTCTAAATTCTAAACCCCAAATTCTAAAACCTAAACTCTAAAACCTAAACTCCCTTTGATTCTAGACCCTAAATTCTTAACCTTAGACCTAAATTCAAGACTCTAAACCCTAGTTCATAAACTCTAGACCCTAAATTCTAAACCCTAAACCCTAGATCCTAAACCCTAAACCCTAAATCCAAAACTCTAAACCCTAGATCCTAAACCCTAACTCTAAATCTTAATTCTTAAACCCTAGATCTTAAACCCAAAGATTTTAGGGTTTTGTAATTTAGAGTTTTGGGTTTAAGAATAAGAATTTAGGGTTTAAGGTTTACGATCTAGGGTTTAGGGTTTAGAGTTTAAGATCTAGGGTTTAGATTTTTGGGTTTAGGGTTTAGGGTTTAGGATCTAGGGTTTTGGGTTTTGGGTTTAGAGTTTAAGATTTAGGGTTTAGAATTTATGATCTGGGGTTTAGAGTTTATGTTCTATGGTTTAGAGTCTAGAATTCAGGTTTAAGGTTTAGGGTTTAGAATCAAGGGTTTAGTTTTTAGGTTTTAGAATTTAGGATTTAGCTTTTAGAATTAGAGTTTATGGTTTAGGGATTAGAGTTTTCATACAGTAATTTTTCTAACTATTTTTTTTTTTAATTTAATATATTTCCTTTTTTAGATAATCTGACAAGGCAATTCTATTGACTATAAGAGGTGAGGTGAATTTAACCATTCACCTCGGGGTGAACCCAAGTATTGTTCAAAAAAAAATTACGTAGTATTCCTCACAGTTTTGCGTTAGCTCTCTTTGAACTTTATTTCAATTACTTCATAATTTGACTATAAGCTTTAACAAGCCAAAAATAAGGAAGATGATACAATACTTAGAAATTCCATTAGTTTAAGGCTTCAAAAATATCCCACATCAACAAAACAAAACAAAAAGGAAAAAAAAAACATCCCATATCCACGGGCTCCACAACCTAGTCAATTAAAGTGTGCATACTCTTCAAACTGCCAAATATCATCCATGTTCCATATTGGATCTTGTGTCACATCCTCCTCATAACTCGAATATGCTAGACAATCCGATTTAAATGGTAAAATGTCAGAATTGTCCATGGTGGGCACCATGTACTCCTCTAGGCGAGGGAGGGAACTATAATCTTCACTCACACATTGGTTACTACTCCCTCGTGTTCCTTTCAAGGACATTGAGTTGGTGTTTTCAGGATCAGACAAATCCATTAATGGTGACATTTTGTTGAGTTCTTGAGACATGGAAGTTGAATTGTAAGAGACGGGTCCAAGTAAATCCACAGAAGGAGATTTAGTGTTGGTGTCTGAGTTATCTTTTATTTTGTGGATTAAACTTGGAACCCAGAAGCTACGTACAACTTCCATGAACTGGTGGCTGCTGGAATCGATGTTGAGTTGGCGTGCTTGTTTTTGAACTCTAGTTCTCCAATAGTTTTTGATCTCGTTGTCTGTTCTTCCAGGCAAATACTGTGCAATTTTGGACCACCTACAAACAGCATGTTAACATTTTAGATTAACATGTTTTTTTTTATAAGTAATAAGCAAGAAGTAGATATATATTGTGTAAATTATTAACCAAACATTACATTAGAGGATGGAAAAAATAAACGTACATGAAGCTAATATAATAGAGTAGCATACCTATTACCCCATTGACAGTGGAGCTCAAGGATCAAGAGTTGTTCTTGATGAGTGAGATTCCCACGCTTTATGTCGGGTTTAAGGTAATTTAGCCATCGTAATCTGCAACTTTTTCCTTTTCTCTTTAGCCCTGTTTTGTAAACCAATATTAAGATATGAACATGGAAAAATATATTGATTCTACACCAACTAAAACCATCTGTTACCTTTAGTATTAGTATTGCATTTTTGGAGATAACCAAGAAAAGATTAAAGAAAAAGAATATTACCAGAAGATTTAGCGAGTAGATTCCATCGGCCTTCACCGTTCTGGGCAATGTAATTGGTGAGAATAGTGTCTTCCTCAAGCGTCCAAGGCCCTTTTCTCTGCTCTGCACCCACTTCAATTTCATTACACCTCTTCTTCATTCTATTTGTCATATTTGTTCCTTTTTATGATTAGATATATTTCAGTTCCTAAGCTTTATTTAGTTGCGTGTACATATTAGAGAGAGAGATAGAGATGATATAAAGAGAATAAGAGAGAGGCTTTTGTGAGAAGTGCAAGTGAATTCAATGGTTATGGGGGATTTATAGACTCGTGGAATTGGATAATGTTCGTGCTTTGTTTTATACATAGATGCACACACCGAACTTGAACCATTGTGATTCTTAAAATCCTTGATTATTCAACCCCTAGAACAGTTTAGTGTTTTGCATTTAGAATTGTCAAATATATACTCCCTTTCACATATATTAATAAAACAATATATAATTAATGCATCAATTTTTGTGATTATCTTTCTCCAGTAATTTTAAACTGATAAAATCTATTAAGTATATTTGAAGTTTTATGAAATTATTATTAAAAATGTATCTTTTTGAAACAAAGATTTTAATCCTAAAACATGTAATATAATAAAACAGAGAGAGTATTATGTAATAAAATAATTTAGTTTTTACATTTTTACGGTTGCAACGAAAACTCTCCATACATATTTGAAGGTTCTCAATGTTATTAGTCAAGAGACTAGGCAGGACGGCTATTTGTAAGTAGTCAGTAAATATATATCCTTTTTTTTGTTTTCCGGCTTCATGTAAACATTTTTTTTTTTAATTTGGAGGTGATTGTGCTTTGAGCCTTAATCTCTCTGGTTTGAATCTAGTTTTTGTTGATGCCAATGACACAGCATAAAACATTTTTCGCTGGATTTCAAACTAAAACATAAGCGCATGCGCTTAATCATTAGGCTACTCCGTCCGATGGTGTATGTTTACATCATTACATCATAAAATATAGTGTTTATCTATAATTAAAATTGGTAAAAAGAAAGAATTAAGTTTTTGATGTTTTTGCGTATTCTTTGTCCCTTTTATTAGTTTTGAGTATTATACTATTATTGAACATTAAATTCGAAAATACAAATAATAGTTTATGAATTTTTCATAGAATAAGCTCTCCAAAACTAGATCTACAAAATAGATAGTTAAGAATTTAGAAGAAAAAGACATGAACTAGCCACAAATATTATCAAAAACTGGCCCGTGTTAGTTCAAGTCTAGAGAGACTATTCAACAAATACTCGGAACTTAATGGTCACATGAAACAAAAAATAATCATCTAAAACTTCAGCAATTATGAGAGTAATAAGGGGCATGATTTACATGTAAGTTTGACGTATGTAAAATCAATCAATCTTGGCACCAGAGGAAGCTTCGTAGTCAGCATCTGGGATTAAGATACGTGTCTGTTTAGGAACTATTCCTTCTCAAATTCTGTATGATTGGGTTACACATTTTTTTTAAAAAAATATTTGTAAATAACAAAATAACACAGCCTCTTGTTTGAAGATAAGTTTAGTCGGACAGAACAAAAGTGACAAGATAGAGAAACACATGGAATGAAGAAAGGAACAACAAGAGGTGGAGAAACACAATTATGATTACCAAATTTAGAAAGTTATTAATGGTATATCGTGCCCATCAGTTTCTTTTTCTGGAAACCCATTGGTGATTAACTGAAAGATATATTTAATGTTGGAACAACTCATTTGTGGATTTAGCCACTTGATCCGGTGACTTGAGATTGTTTGTTTGTCCATCAAGATAGTCCATCTAGATGGATCATCTAGATAGATTCATGTTTGTTTCTCTGTTTTTCTTCTCCATCTAGATGAGTTTAGTAAAAAAATTACTAAGATACCCTTGTTTTAATTTAGTCATATGCATGATATTAATTTTAAATATATTTTTATAATTTTGACGCGAAAATGAGTTTTTGCAGATTTGGGGGGAAAACGGGTTTTTGTGGTTGTAGTTGGAAAATGCGTATTTGCGGTTATAGCGGGGAAACACGTTTTTACGATTTTAGCGGAAAAATACGTATTTGCGGGAAAATGTGTTTTTTCGGGAAAACATGTTTTTGCGATTTTGGCAGAAAAATATATTTTTACGGTTTTGGCGGGAAAACACATTTTTGCAGTTTTAGCAAAAAACGCGTTCGGAGGAAAAACGCTTTTTTGCGGAAAAACACGTTTTGGCGGAAAAACACGTTTTGGCGGGAAAACACGTTTTGGCAAAAAAACGCATTTTGGCAAAAAAACACGGTTTGGCAAAAAACGCGTTTTGGCGGAAAAAACACATTTTTACGGGAAAATGCGTTTTGCGGTTTTTATGAGAAACGCGTTTTGGCGAAAAAATGGATTTTTTTTTTGCGGTTTTAGAAGGAAAACGTGTGTTTGCGGTTTTGGGGGGAATACGTGTTTTTCGGTTTTTGTGGGAAAAAGCGTTTTGGCGGAAAAACGAGTTTTTGCGGTTTTGGTGGGAAACACATTTTTGCGGTTTTAGCTGGGAAAAAACGTATTTACGGTTTTTGGCGGAAAAAAATATTTTTGCGGTTTTGGTAGGAAATCTGTTTTTGCGATTTTGGCGAGAAAACACGATTTTGCAGTTTTGACGGAAAAACATGTTTTTACGGTTTTGGGGGAAAATGCGGTTTTATCATTTGAGGAAATGTGGTTGTCATGTAAGTTTCAAAATAATAGTATGTTTAGGTTTGTAATTTATGAATTATATAAAAGGGTATAACAGACATTATACAATTTTGGAAGAACCATCTCCATCCAGATGGTTCAAATTGGTCCATCCAGATGGACTTCAAAATTAAGCCTAAAATTCCAAAGTCATCCGGATAATCCATCTAGATGAGTTGTACTTTTAGTGTATAAACAAACGAAACTCTCATCTCCATCCAGATGAGTCATCTGGATGGTGAAACAAACAGGCCCTGACACTTGCAGACAGCTAAGTTAATAGCATATTCTCAATAATACATATATGTGAGTTTTGCAAAATACCCAAAATTCTAAGTCAAACATAAAATTAATTTTGTTTAGACATTCTATTTGCTTATTCACTCCAGAAATTCTGATTATCGATAAAAATGCCATTTTTAAAAAACTTAATGTTTTATTATATCATATTCATCCTCATCAATTAATCACAAAAATATCATGGTCATCAATTTACCCAAACAACTGTGATCAACTAATATGAAGCTCCAAATGCATCTAAAACGAAATTTACTCATTCTTTCTCATATCTTATGCACAAAAACTACACCTCTCTCATTTTCTCTCTATATTCATCCAAAAACCTCAAGCTTTTTGATTCTAAAGTTCTTAAGGTTCATATAGCCATTCAAGGTCACGATTCCTAGTCATCAACGATTGGTTAGCTGTCGTGGTGAAGTTATGTGTGCTTGGGGAACTAAAAAACAAGTTTTCTTAGTGGTTGAAGGTAAGAATCAAAGTTTTTCCCAGATCTGTTCGTAAGAAGACTTACGTGGAAATCTTTTCGACAAAGCATATGTTAGTTTTCTAATTGACTTTTTGTGTGTTTTTTAGAGACGACTTCCCTGGAAATCTTCCAACTTTTATTTGTTGACAAAAAAAAACCGAGAAGACTTCTCTAGAAGTCTTCTCGAATAAACATAAGACTTCCCGTAAGTCTTCCAGCGAAAGGTTATTTTTGCAATTGAAAATTTAAACTTAAATTTTTAATTTAAATTGGAAAATTTCTAGGTAAGTCTTCCACAGGAACACTCACGTGGAAGTCTTCCACATTTTTATTCCGTGATTTTACTCAAACCTAAGGTAATAAAAGAAGACTTTTAGAGAAGTAATCTGCTTCCACCGACCGTAAAGAGACTTAATGTAAAAGTTGAGAAGACTTTCATAAAAGTTTGCTGCTCGAAGATTTATAGGGAAGTCTTGTGTAGAAAATCAAATTTCTAATACAATTTGATCAATTGCAAAAGTAACATGTTTATTTGGAAACTCCCAGAAAAGTCTTCTTGGTATTTTCAAGAATTTTTGAATTACAAAAGTAAGCCAATAAAGATTTCCTTAGAAGTCTGCTGTAGAGGAGACTTCTCTGGAAAATTTCCTTTGTAAATTTTCAATTGCAAAATAATCTAATTGGAAGACTTCCACGGAAATCTTTTCTGGGAAGACTTCCACGAAAGTCTTCTATGACAATGTATAATAAACTCTCATTTTCTTCAAATTTAAAGTAACTTTTTAAGATTTATTGTTAGTTCATGTGTTTAGACTATATTTGGGGTCATAAATGAAATTCATAATTTAATTGATTTAATTTATGATAATTTAGAGATTACCAACATTCATATTTTTTTTTAATATTTCGAGCTAATCTGAAAAGACTTATTAAGAAGTCTTCTCTAAGAAAGTCTTCCACGTTTAGTTTTTGTAAACTTGTATTTTCAAGAATGTTAAGTAACTTTAAGATAAGTTTTTAACTATTAAAATTATTAAATAATTTCAAGAAAATTATAATATGTACATGAAATCGAAGTTAGAAGAGTTAACCTACTATTTATATCTTACTGTTTATAATTGCAAAATTTATTGATTTTACTTCTTAAAAAATTTTGTTGGTTTTACTTATTAGAAGTTAAAAGTGATAAACAACTATTGTAGTTAATGAGAAGAAGTTGTTTATAATTACAAACTTGTATTTTTTTTTGTAGAGTATGAGAGATCCAAAGATGAGAAGAACTACACAATGAACATTATGTTTTGAATCTGAAGGTCATTGAAGATTTTTTATTCATTGATTTGTAAAAGTGGAAAACACATTGTTAGCACATATATTAGATATTGAGAAACATCATTACTGATTTTACAAACATAGAACCATACTCTTAATCTACTCTTGTTTACTTTAATAATGTCAAGTAATTTTGAACAAATAAACATATTTACCATATTGTTCCTTAATATTTCTTCAAATTTACAAAAATAAATCAGACCTAAAAAGTACACATAGAAATCACAAAACATACCACAAACAAAATTATTATAGATCTCCTTTTAGCGCATTATTTGTTAAAAGACTTCCCATAAGTCTTCCAAAGTCTA